TTTTTGAAAATTATTACAAATATGCACTCATTTTTAAAAGAAACTTGAAAGAATAGGAATATCATATCTCACTATCCTCATTAAAAATTCTGTCTTATGTGAATAATGTCAAATCGATGACCATTAGCTGAGAGAGGAAGCTGATTTTCACAAATATACTTGTCGATCGAAAGGGGAAGAGTTCTTGCAATTGCAAAATGAAATTTCACTTCTCACAACTATAGTGCATTATTGATTTTACAGAAGGAAGTGAAAGAGTATGAACATCGTGTCCCACTCTCGTCAGTGACGCATTTCTCGATTGATGGTGACGTGCTCATTACATACATCCATTGGGGAGGCAAATATTATGTAAGTGCTTTTTGCCTTTTTCTTTTTTCACATTAGGAATTTTTCTTGTATGAACTGCAAAGGATACAAGTAAAATACTATTAAGTATCGAAAACGCAATTCGTTTCAGAAAAAAATGAAACAAGATCAATTTAAGTCAGTTCGTAATCAGTAAGTAATGGCAATGCTAGGCTTTATATCTCAGTTGTTTAAATGTGCTCTAAAATATTATCGTTATAGCCAGTTCCATACGAAAGTGGATTAAGTGGAGAAGGTTTAGGGCCAGGCAAATCATTGCTCATTTTTGGAACACCAGAAAAGAAAGGGAAACGTTTTCACATCAATCTACTCAAAAAAAATGGTGATATTGCGCTTCACTTCAATCCTCGATTCGATGAAAAGGTTTATTGATATTTTCGCTTGGCATGGGAAATGCTTTGCAAAAATTTAGAAATGGAGAAAAATTGAGCATATTCACATATCGAAGATAAAATGTTCATTTATTATTTTCTCTCAAGCGCCGTCTGATTATGCTTGATATATTTATATTAATATATACTGAAGTTTATATATACGAAATAAAGCGAACAGCTGGCTGGGATAGTCCCAGGCTATTCTTAGTAGGGCTAATGATAAAGAGCTTGAAATCTTGGTAATTCATATAATTAATTTCACTAATTTTGGAAATTGAAAGAAAATAGGAAATAAGAAGTTGGACAGCTAGGAATCCATTTTTTTTCAGTCTTTATTAACATATTTTATGAATAAAAAATTTTTTAATTCTAAAACCATTTTCGCTTCGATCAGCTTTTGTTATTCATTTCAATATGATATACCTATATGTATATGAGAATATAAAAAATAAAGTAATATAAATTCATTTGTAGGCGATAATTCGTAATTCGCTGATTTCTGGTGAATGGGGTAATGAGGAACGTGAAGGAAAAATGATCCTCGAAAAAGGAATCGGTTTTGATTTAGAAATCAAAAACGAGGAATATGCTTTCCAGGTTTTACTTTTAATTTGCAATTTGAAATCATTGACGAAGTTAATTATAGTAGATAATATAAATTTTTAATTGATTGGTTAACAAGAGTTGATGTGTTTGTTGCGTATTAGAAGATTTGTGTGAAGTTGTACTCAATACTAATTAAAATAACAAAAATAATATCATACTAAAACTTCTATTTTCAAGATGTTAAAATTTAAGTCCACGAGCAACACAAAATACACATGAACATTGGAATTTAGTAAAATGGTTGAATTATTCTTTATAATTTCCAGATATTTGTTAACGGCGAACGATATGCGACATATGCTCATCGCTTGGATCCTCGTGAAATCAATGGTCTTCAAATTGGTGGCGATCTAGAAGTGAGCGGTATCCAAATGCGCTAAAACAGACTTGCAACGGCAGTAAAACTTTCTTTTCAAATATTTTAACGCCAAAATCACCCTAACTGTTTCTTGGTAAAGAATTTTCCAGGGAAAAGTAAGAGTGATTTTTTTCCCTATATGGTGGAAGTGTTAGTTTCCCGGTTCTTTAGAAACTTTAGAGTTTAGGAATGCACAAACTTGTTCAAAATTAGAGTAAAACTTTCGAATGTTTAAATTATAGCTTACCTACCATCACTTATTATTCGGGACTCTGCAGTTGTTTCAATACAGTATATTTTCCTAAAGGCGTCGAAATTAATATTTGTTCCATAATAGAGGCTAATCCCATAATTGTCCTTTTTACTGGTGAATCAGTCATAGTAACAGTTGTATTAATTGCCACTTCACTTGGTTAATTAACTGCATTTGTACGTTATTTATACTGATAAAATAACTTTCCATCAAATAATGCTCGAAATTATTCTTATGCTTTATTTGTGTAGATGGTAGGAGGGATAGTTTTCTAATTTCGATTTTTTTTGGATGTTAAAGAATTTTTTCTTCTCACTGCTGACTTCGCATCCTGTAACGCTTAATTTAAATTCGAATCAGTAACTTTTATAGTTCATCCCCTCTGTGTCCTCAATTTTATAAATTTACTGATTGTATCGCATGTCTAAAACAATTGATGCATTCAAATGGGAAAAATTATTTTCGTCCACCATTAAACTTTGCATCGTCATTATGTTATTATCATCCCAGCCCTCTTGATTCAGTCAATTAAAAAGTTTTCTCAACTGCTATTTCAATACTTATCATCTTTCGCTTGCTTTATTGCTTTTTTTCTTTATTTTTCTTAAATAAGCAAAATGGAATTCGTTGATTTTCTTATCAACGTATTCGCGTATCATCATCCCATTTCCTTATATTGTTAGACTACAAATATGACAAAAAATTAGCTCTCATCTCAAGCTTAGCTATTGAGCCTAATTAAATTAGCTTAGAATATATTAAGTACTAAAACCTGAAAATTTTTTGCAAAAGGAAATGGTTTTTTTCTCTTTCGTATTGAGCGTCATATTTGTAGTTATCGGATATGCGATGAATAATATCACCTTTTGCAATCTATCATGTCCCTATCTTTCTCTCACTCTCTCTCTTTCTGTCTTTATGTTTGCATAATTTTTAATTGAAAATCATATAATAAATGGATTTTGATTATTTTATTTGCAGATTGAACTATGTGATGAAAATAGAAATTTTCTGACAGTCTTGCTCAGAATGTTTGCTTTAAACTAAATCTTGAGAAAGACATGTTTTGGTCATCAAATTAATGAGCAACTTGGAGACGTTACGCTGTACGTTATGATTAACATAAAGTGGCAAATCAAACAAAAGCAAGACCATACTCGTGAAATAAAAAATTGGAACTAGAAGGCATGCTATCTTTTTATCTATAAAGCGATTTAAATTGAACATCCATCGTACTGAAGCGCAATCGTCATAGTGATCAACTTGATCTGTTATTGACTTCCCATAAAATAGAGAATCAAAAATAGACCATCTCATTTATAAATTAATTAAATGAAATATCTATCGTATTCGAAGAAAGCCATCATATTGATCAAACTTGATCAATTGTTAATTCCCGTCCCCCGAAGTCTGTTGTTAGCTTCCGTGAAATACAACAACAGACAAAGTCTGTTGTTAGCTTCCGTGAAATACAAAATTAAAACTAGAATGCATGCTATCTTTTCATTCATAAAGTGACCAAATGTGACATCTGCAATGATCATAATGACAAGATTTGATTGCTATTGTTTATTTCTTTAATCTGTGCTAAAAATTACCCTCAATGATAGCATATTTTCAAATATAACCTATAGATTAATTATTCTCGAGAAGGCCTCGAAATGTGTAACCTTTTTTCAATCTAGATAAATTCTAAGAGAAGTATATTTCTAACACATTTCTGCTGTAGATGGACAATTCTGCACCTATTGCTTTCTAAAGATTATCATCTCAGTGATGATTGTTAATTGAGATCCATCAACAGAGTGTTCGTATTTTAAACGATAAATGGAATAATGCCAACTGATGAAGACATGATAGCTTGTCTGATGCAACAGGAAGAAATCTGAGGATTGTCCGGTAAATGACACTTTCCAAATGGCTATTTGTTCGGTTTTTTATAGAGTTTTGCTATTTCCTTCACAAAATTTTGACTTTTGTTTTTATTGGATTCCGGAAGAGTTAGCAAATTCTTCTTGGAATTGATATGGGAAGCAAAAGGAGAGATTTTCTGATTCAATAATAAGAAAATTTTCGTTTCTACTTTGTGCTTCCCTCATATCATTCTTTCCCAATAAAGTTGCACAAAAAATTTTGTATAATTCAATGTTAAAAAAGTATTTACATTCCTTATCAAAATTTCAATTTTCTATTGGTTTACATATACATAGCTCAGTTTTTAGCTGAGTGAGATTTCTACTGATTGATCTAAAAATAATTAGCGTTTCAAAAGAATCCTTTATTAGTAGGATTGCAAGGTTTCTGTAGAATTGAGTTAAAGCTATCCCTTCCAACTGAAAAGGATAAACAAGTTAATATGCATTTCCAGAGAAAATTAATGTGGTTGAAATTAACAAAAATGTCAATAAACTCTCATCTAATAAATGAGTCTTATAGAAAGTGATTACATATTATTACCTTTCTAGCTAAAACAGATCAATCTAAACATGAAAGACATGGAGATGAAAGTTTTCACAGTATCCTTCTATACGAATTTCAATAGTAATTTACTCCTGAAAATTAGTTCAATAATTTGATCCTTATAACTATCAATTAGAGTTTTATACGATTGATTAATGCTAATTCAAAATATACTTATTGATTGTTATCTTTTTGCAATTAACTTCCCATTCATTTAAAGAAATGTATTGTTTTCTCCTTCTTATTTCTCCTTATTTGCTTTAAGTACTATTATCATTTCATTATTTGTCTTAGATATGAGCATTACGTTTTGTAATAGGAAGAAAAGAATTTTTACAGTAGAGAAGGGAGATAAAAATTTTTTGCTACATGAAGATGTTGAGGATCATTGCAAACTGAAGTTAGCTAAGCAACAGGTGATTGGACATCTTACTTAGATTTCATTCTACTTAACTATTTACCATCTACTATTCTATTACAAATTCCTAACTGGTGCTTTTGTTTCTTTTTTCTTTCGAGCTATAGCTTTTCTGTTTTTGAAAACTTTGATTCTTGAATTCAAAACAAGTGCGATTATAGGATGCGGTTCGCCCTGCTTTCTCTAATTTACCTATTTACTGTCAAACAAGCAATCGGAAAAGTTCTGAATAGGAAGGTCTCTGTGCCCGATAACGATAATACATTAAAGGTATTTCCAAATTTATGTCTTTCTCGTACTGTGTTTCACTGTTTTCTTGCTAATTCAATTTTTTACTATGTTTTAAAAGAAAAAAAGTTGATTTTTTAACTCTTGGAGAAAAACATCAAATATATTGTTCACAACACAACAGCAAATTTTGTTAATGTAAATATTGGTAATAATTTTTGCTGATGGCACCTATGTTGGTTGCCTTTTGCAGATGTTCTTAATAATTATGTTGCTTCTCGCCATAGTGGGATTGATAAAACTTTACACATGTAATATTATTAGGAACTCTGTTAGTAGTAGTTATTCTAAACGATTTGAGGAGAAAATCTATGGCAAGATTTCTGATCGGAGGATAAATGAAGGAGATTAAGACGAGGAAAGGGAACATGAGAATAAAATAAGCGATAATTCGGAATACGGAAATACTTTATCAGTAGATAAATACAGTAGTAACTGCACTAGAGTTAAGCTACTGCTTTTTTGTAGTAGCAAATAATTAATTTGCAGCTGCTAGGAAAATGAGTTATATTCTAATAAAGTAGTAACAGATTGCTCTAGAACTCTCCGTTGAATTAAACTCTGTATTCCTACCTGAACAATCATGAGTCTCTTTCTCCTCTCCTCCAAGCTCTTGAACGGATTATTCACTGTTCTATTTATTTATATACATTTATTTGTTCACCCGAATATATACCATTTTAACATAGGTCGAATTTGGAATAATCCGATCATGAAATACTATGCAAGACTTCTCCTTTCAATTTCGATTATTTTGATCTCAAAGGCCACTGTAATGTAAACTTGAAAAGGTTACTCTTGAAATAGATAAAGGACCTCATCTAAGTAAACTGATCTAAGCGGTCAGCAGCAGTAGGAAGAGAGTTAGATTGCAATTTACGTTTGATTTCACTATTGATGTTACTGCAAAAAATATATGCATTGCAGCTTTCGAATAATCATAACAATAAATTGGATAAATTTATTACTTTGTCATTACTAAAATTATTTCAGCAAATACTATACAGATCGGGAACGTTATATACGAATTCAAAACTGCCTTCTTCTGAAACCAATTGGTGGATACCAGTACCAGGTGTGGAACTTTAACATTGTTTGAAATACCAATTTTGGGACACTTTCCGTTACTTGAATTTCAGGTCAATCACTGAAAGCAACAATGGTACGAACTTATAACAGAGAAATAAAAAAATATTATGCCACTTACAATTTTTTCCAAACAAACGCAAGAAGCCTATGTAGCAAAAGTGTACGTATCAATCGAAATGTATCTTTTCTTGTTTCAATCTTATATACTACTGATTTTATGGCATCGAAAATATCAAGCGAAAAATAATTTCGCATTCTGGATTTAAGTTGTTCTCTTTTTGCAGATAGTGTCATTAAACAATTTGAGAACCTGTGAATTGGAAACTCCAATAACGCAGCAGCAGGTTATCTAATGTTGTATAAATTCTTAAAAGTAGAAGTGGAAATTGATAGATTTCTTCCCTCTGCTAGACTTCTCAGTAGTTGACTGACAGCTTTTCAAGTGCCAGAGTCTCAAAATTTCGATGATCTTTAACTCTCAATCTTAAATTCTCCCTAGGAAGCTCAACTCTTCCACATTTTCATTCTTCTTTGCTTAGGATTTGAACATGAACATGCCACCTAATGCTAAAATTTTTGGACAGGAATGCAATCTAGTGTTTGCGTGGACTGAAGGTGATTGGGCGACAGTGGAGATCGAAGGCATATGCGATATCAAATCGATAACAAGAAATCAAATCAAAGTATTTCGAAATAATTAAATGCTTTGTAAATATATAAAAGGACAATGTTAAATATTATTTCCTTACATTACCACTTCCATAAAGCATTGCTTTGTTGTTCAGATACATACATGTGTGCGCACTACTATATTCTGCTTCCAGCATCATATTACTATTTCCGCTAGAACCTTTTCATCTAGTAAAAGAGCAAAATACAGAATAGCGAAACCGTCGAGATTTATAAACTACTTATTTGTTTCATCATATCAAAATTGAAATTTGTTTTAAAAGCGATGAATAAAATTTAACAACGTAGTAATTAGATGTCATTTATTGTTTCAAAGTTTTTTAATTCACATTTGGAGATTTTAACAAAAAGCTTATCTTTCCATTTTTTTGACTGAATGTGAAGCCAAAGTAGACAATACTCTGGTTAAATCACACACTGTTAGTTTTATTAAAACAATAACAAGAATCATGAAATATCCGGTAAGTTAGAAGGATAAACGTCATATGCCAGCTGAATATTTTTGTATAACACAAGCAGGGATACAATGCTGTGTAGACAAAGCTACAGTTAAGTTACCATAAAGTTAGCATAAAAGTTAAGTGTCACTGTCGACAAAAGACGTTCATAGTTTACCACCTACTTCTTTCACACGCATAAAGCGTATGTGAGATTTTATGCTTTTGTAGAAGAATTTTGTGTTATGGAATTTGGAGAAATGAAAACATTCACGAGAAAAGTGAACCTGCATTTCTATAGTTGACGCGGAAAGTATTTTGTTGCACGATGTGGCAATGTATGTGATTCATAAAATGAGTAGAAGCGTACACGTTGTAGATAATAAGTCTTCGGCAGCATAGCGCCCCGCAACTAACGAAATGAAACAAAAAATCGGGTCTTGTTCACATCTCCCGTCAAATACACATTGACCAAATTTGAATAACAGAGAGTGGAGGCATGCAACAGGAATGCAACACTTTTATTCTCGAGAATGAGAATAGGATGACAGTGAGTGGGCAAAAACATTGGACAGGGGCTTGCTTGTTATTTTATTGTTGATGGCTGTTTGTGAAGTGAAATTTAGAGCTCCTACAGGATCCAGTTTAAAAGTGATTAGATCGAATGTGAAATGTTTTCAACAAAATTTTCAAAATATTCACATGGAAGAATAAAAGAATTGAAAAAAATATTGCAGAAGAAAAAAGTGTTGTACAGGATAAAATAATTTTTTTCAAGTATTTCAAAGCTTCTCACAATCTACCTTGGTATTAAGCAATGAATGTCTCAACGGCTACGATCTCACAACCATATACTTACATTTATGAAAATTTATACAAAGAGGTTTGTTTTGATTTTTAGCTAATTGTGAAGTCCAATGTAAAATCTGATGCTGACTAGTAAATGGTCAAGAAAATATGGTTTGACGATCAATATCCTGAGGTTTTTCTAGAAAAATCACTTTGATTTGTATTCTTATGTAGTTGACTATCCGCAAATGTTTAAAAATGTTTCTTATTGACTCGTTTCAAGTTGATAATAGTTCTTGTGTCGCATCTCAGCAAATAATTGAATCGAAATATTTCAGATGAACATAAGAGGGAAAGATGTGGTGCCTGCGCAAGAAGCTGCGGCATTTTTGAAACGATCCAATTTGACTGTTACGACTTTGGGTCAGGTACTTTATTTTCTGATTTTAAAATGCACGAACGCCACAATTGTCGGTGCTTTGTTACAAAGATTGTTGAGGAACTCCAAAAAATGTCTGAGAAATGTTTGGAAATAGAGATAGCAGAATGTATTAGAGGTTCTGACACTATTTTATAATTTAAATTTTAAATATTCTCCAAAACAATGCCAATAGTCAAAAACAATAGTCGCGAAGTTACAAGAAATACAAAATATTTTTTTCTCATCTTTTTTATCTTTATTTAGATCTGGGAATTGGCTGATTACAGTCGAAAAGGTTGCTTGGATAAAACTGGTGCTTTTATTGCTTTCAAATTGGTGGCAGCTTCTCAACAGGGACAACCTATCTCGTGGAATTCTTTGCTTCTCAAGCTAGAACCTCCATCTTTTGCATCGAGGTCTGCTACGCCATCTATACCTAATTTTGGTGCCACTTTAGCCAGTCTTAGTGAGAGCTGGGCAATCACTCCAACAGATCAAGCGAAATATGAATCGATCTTCGCTGGTTTGAATCCAATTGAAGGGAAAGTATCCGGAAATAAGGTAATGCATATTTATTTGCAGAGAGACCATGTGGATATTAGTGTAACTCACTGTAAAATATTTTCTGATAAGCGCACAGCTTTACGTCTTTTCTGAAAAAAATTAAGGATTCATGATTTCATGGTGCATTTCTGTTGTAGCAGCGTTATTTGATATATTAAAGTTAATTTTGTTTTTTTTTATCTTTTATTTTATAAATTTATCGAGCCGCTTTGTATTATTATATAATTAACCTAATGGCACTATACGAAAACTAACGATGGTTATTAGTCCTCCTTATTCATGTAGAATGTGTTATTTTTTTTATTAATCTTCGTATAAAGTTTCGCCCTACTTTCTTTTATTTGTGAGCTATTTTTAGATACGTCCTGTATTACTGAATTCAGGACTTCCAAGTACATCACTGGCAAAGATATGGGAGTTGGCAGACATGGATAAGGTTAATAGATGATTACACTTCAATTAACTTGATATTCTCTCAGCACTTCATTTACTGCTTACGTGATGATATCAGTGTCTCAGTGACATTGAGAATGGTAAAGTAAGAACAGGTTTTATTAAATGAGTTTTATATTGAAGATTTACTAAAATTGTTGATTAATAATATTCCTCAAGGAAATAATTTTTGGGATGCAATGATATTGAAGACTCATCGTCTCCCTCAGTTTGTCCGCTATTATCTTATTCACAATCCACTGCTAATATGTATTCACACGCAACGAGTGTTTTAAAATTATGCTTGCTTCAATAACTCTTTAGGATGGTAAGCTTGATCGCATTGAAATGTCTGTTGCATTGCATTTGGTTTATTGTGCCCTGCAAGGAGAACCAGTACCGAGTGTCCTACCATCATCACTAATTCATCCAACAAAACGTGAACTTACACAGTTTTCCTCAAGTATTCCTCCGCTACCAGTATCTCGTAAGATTCCTTAAATATTAAAACATAATTTATGCCAAACACTGCAATTATTTGAATTCACAAAGATTTATTAACGAATATTTTCGAGTCTTTAGCGGGATTTTTTTCCAGAATGGAGTGGTCGCCAAAGAACCGGTTCGGTAGTATCCTTGGAAGATTCTGAACAGCCAACGTCAGGATCGGAAAGGGTACGATCCCAAAGCGTCCAGCCAACAAGCGCTACTACAACAACCTTTTTCGTTAATTTTATTTCTTTTAAAAGCTTTTTGAGTGCTATTAATTTATAAGTGAATCATTTGTAATCTTTATCTTCGTTTCAGCCGGCACCACTTTCATTATCACTTGCGTCAGCATGGCCAGTGGAGTCAGCTTGTTATGAAGCTGATTTTCAACAGGTACTTTTACAGTTCATAACACAGCATAGACATTTCTTCTCAGTTTCTAGAAGTACTTCTAGTTCCATTTTCAATACTTCAATTTTTAATGGCCTAATTTCAACCGTTGCTGTTTCTATTCGAACTCTGTGCTGGTATGTGACCTTCCTTGCAGTGACAGTCATACAATTATTTTTTGCATTTCTCTTTACGGAATTCACAATTTAAATTATTCTACTTGGACAGGCGGATTCTGACCAAGATGGATTTGTTTCGGGTGCGGATGTTCGTGATATTTTGTGTGCAACAGGTATACAGCAGAATACATTGGCGTTGCTTTGGTCACTTGTGGATCTGAACAAAAATGGAATGTTGAATTTAGAACAGTTTGCTTTGATGTAATTTTTTTTAATTTGGTGACCCAGAGAAATTTCGAAAAACAGTTAAATTTTTATAAAAAAAAAAACAGTTAAATATATTATAAAATTTTATGAAATTCTTCAGTATGTACCTGATTGAAAATCATAAACGAGGGAAACCGGTACCGTTTGCATTGCCGAAGAATTTGGTACCACCTTCTTTTCGAACAGTCGAAGCCAATGTAGCTAGCGGATATATTATGGTAGCTCATTTCGTAAAGTTGTTTTCAGTGTGACTTGATTACTGTTTCTTCAGAATTAACTTGTTGAAGTTTTCCAACTATTAGAACTTGCTTCTCAACCTTTGATATCACAAACAAAAGGGTGCCTCAGAATCAGATAGTAGTGAAGAAGTTCCATTCTAAATGATTCCACTCATAGAAAAATCACTCTAATACTGCGGAAGAATTTTTCATACTACAGCAGAGTACATTACCAACTGGAAATGAAGAACTGGATGAATTGTTGCGCGAAATTGAAAAGCTGATTTTGGACCGTCGAGAGGCTGATCAAGAAATTGTTCAACTTGAAGCTGATATGACCGTGAAGAACAGTGAAATCAAAAATTTAAAGGTTTTAATTGAAAGTAAACCCAGTAATTTTTTGTATTGCATTAATAACAATTTCTTTTTTGTGAGATCTTTTTGAACTATTTTAGCAGGTATTTTATTTCCACTATGCTAATAAGCACGATTCTGCTCATCTCACACTGTTTGAGTTAGTAACTCATAAAAGTTTTGCGTGCAATACTGCATGTGTGCAGTTTAGCGGTTTCACATCAGGGATTTCATTGAGATATTTGGACATATCTACAAATTAAGTGGGCAAGAAAGGAAGATTGTAAAATATTTTAAATCTTTGGGCTGCAGATTGAACTAACAACACTGGAAAATACGGTAACACAGTTGGAAAAACAGAAAGGTGAAGCAGAAAAGCGACTTGAAGCACTCGATTCACAGATTGCACAACTGGGACGAAATGTGGAACAATCCAGGGAAAAAATTAAAGAAGAGGAAAAGAGGCTTAGCGAACTTCATTCGCAAAACACTCAAAATGGAGATCAGATTGTAAGTATTAGTAAGTTCAGCTGTTTACGTATGAAAATGGAAAGTATCGATTTTTTTGCTTGCAAGCTCCTTATCTTTCTTTGAGACTGGTAACAGCTAACGTCTATCTATAATTCATTCCACAGTGTTATCGCCTTTGTTTTTGAGGTGCAGAAAGATAAGTCGGACGGAACAAGGCCAAGAGTGTGAAAAGTCTCAAGAAACTAATTGAAAAATCTTTTATAGTTCTTTTCAGCATTCGTCGTAATTAAGGAAAAATATCAGGATCAGGGTTTCTGCGAGAAATGACTGTTTTAATAAGCATTGTTTGAACAGTTAGTTGGATGGTTTATGTGCGAGTCAAAGGGCAAACCATTGTCTTTGCTAGCAATTAACAACGAACATGAACTTCTTCAACTTGTTTCATCATGAGAAATCATTATCGTTTGTTGGAGGCTTCATTAATTCTATTTTTTTCTTTAGGGAAATGAAGAATTGATGCATGTGCAACGAGAAGTTCATTCTTTAGAAGAAGAAAAGAAAACGCTGTCTGTCACACTTTCACAACATAATGCTACTATCGAAAAAGCATCACTGGAACTCACGAAAGTTTGTGTTTTATTGCTTTTAAAACTGTTTGCGGAATGTACTTCCTTCTTTACTCTGTTCTTTCCAACAGAGTTTTTCCTTCAAAATTTGACAGTTCTCAATTGCGTATTGAACGCTTTCTTTAGCAAATTTAGTGCAGCGATGGTCACTGTTGAGATTTGCGTTAAGTTCGGTTTACTTTTTGGAGATCTCTACGGATGTGTATTTTTTGAGAATCAGTACAAAATCCATTGGTTTTGACTTGAATTTCATTTTCAGCTTGAAAGAAGATGTGCGAATACTGAAGAGGTAACAAAACGTATTGAAAATGAAAATGAGAAATTAAAAAAAGCGACAGAACGTCTCACTCAGTTAATAGAAAGCAATGATACCGAAAAGCTTAATAAAGAAAAAGAAGAACTTTTTGCCCTACTTGTGGAAATTTCTCCGGTAATTGCTTGTGATTTTTTTTACAGACCGAGGGAGGTTTTGAGATGAGGACCCTGGAAATCGGCTGATGAGTTAATTGTTCTGCAAGCTAATGTGAATTTTTTGATTCTTTCCATACTTTGAAGAGATAATGTGGATGGTTGGCCTAAGAACAAACATAAGGGGTTTTCGAAATAGGATGTCGATGATCCAATCAAATAAGGATTCATTAGGCAGCGCATTGTTTTTCAGGTCGAAAATCAAAACTTTGACGTTTCTACAGATCCTTTCGCAGCTGCCATTCGATCAGGTTTTATTCATTTGCCCATTTTCCTCATTTACGATGAACATATATCAAAACATTATACTAATTCACAGTTAGGAAAAAATTGGTAAGAGTCAAGAACAATTATTCGTTTCCTTAAGTGTACTTTGCAGGTGTTGGATTTGAAACTGATCCATTTGCGTGCACGACTAATTCATCATTCACGAATTTTGATGCTTTCTCAGACAAGGATCCATTCTATTCAAATACAAAACTTTCACCAAGAACCGCTTCATCTGTAAAAGCACCACCACCACGACCTGCGCCACCAAAATCATTGAAAACTTCTGCGGAATTGGATCCCTTTTCTGGCACGTAAGTCAAATGGGAACAGGAATGGATGATTTCCTTTAAATCTTTTACTTCCCTTTTCCACATTTTTAATCGAAGAAGTTGCTGTTTTTATTCTTATTCTATGTCCAGTTTTTTCCAGAGATCCATTTGCTGGCGCAACATTCACTGCAACAACAGACCAGTTCGCAGATTTCGCTAACTTTGATGCCTTTACAAAATCCTGAATTTGTTGCGCTTGACGTGTTATTGTTCATTTATCATTTTATATCACCGAAACAAAACTTCTGGTGATTACTTATGGTAAATTCAGCTGTCTTCTATCATCTAAATCTTGTAATTTGAATTTTTTTGAGCACTAATTTCCTTTGCAAGCTCTTCCAAACTTGTTGAGAATGGGCTGCCATCGAAATACTTCTCGGAATTCAGAAAATAATATGATTATTGCTGTTGCTTTAGTTAAATTATTATTACTTCGTTGATATTGTCTCGCCGCTTCGTATTTTGTGTATGCCTGTTGTGAATTTGTTATTTGTTTGTTTTAGATTGCATATGAAAGTAGAAAGTCGGTCCACTCCTTAAATTCCAGAAATCTAAATTCTTGAATTTCAAACCTCGTGAATAGAAATTCAAAACTTTTAATCATAAAATTCATACCCACATGAAGTAACGTCAACATAATTTTGTATACTATGCTATTCTTATATTTTGCAATCCTTATTTCAATCCTTATTTCTCGTTTAAATCTGCTTTATAATCCACGAACTTTAATTATTGTGATAAAGTTTATAGACGATTAGACTTTCCGAATGCTGCGGCTAGGTGTAATTGCTTTTTAACTCACGTGGATTTGGGTTACTGCTTTTAAATGCGAACATTTTTTCAACAGTATGGAAATGCCATATTCTATACGCGCTATTAAGTTTCTAACAAACTTCTATGACGACTTTGCCGCTCCAAAAATGAAGACCAAAGACAAAAATTACAAAACAATGAGGAGAAATGCACATTAAGATGCCTAACAAATTTTTTGACGTAAAACGATTCAGAGATTTGCAAAGGTCCCGGATGTCATCCACGCAGTAATTTTGAGTAATGAGATTACGATGCGAGAAATGGACATCAGTGACTTTTAAAGTGATGTATCCCTGAATATGAGCAGATTTCTTCTAGAACCTAGATTGGAAATTTCTAAAAGAAAATTTTAAGAATCTAAAAAATGAAGTAAGCGAAGATTGGAGAAGTGTGCGAAACACTTAAGATACATTTTTGGTGTTACCGAATTTACAGCTAGTGACATCTGAGGATACGAATTGTTTTCTGTTCGGAACATGAAGGATCGAGTGATTCTGACGAATTTTGTTCATTATACCTAAACTTCAAGACGAATCACACTAAAGTTTCCAAACTTAGAATAAAATTTTTTATCCGGAAGATTACATAAGGCGTCCAAGATATCTCCTAAATCATAAAAGCAGAGCTATTTTGAAAACTTTTCAAAGCTATTTGAAAATTTTTGGAAATATCTGTTATCGTGAAACGATAAGATAACCTAATAATCGAATAATTAAGAATTCTTCAGTTCACCTCTGCAAAGTTCTATGTTCCTATGAATTGACAATAAAGAACACCTCGATCTCTGTCTACTGAATACAAAATCAACAGTGATGATTCCAGGAAAAGTCAATTAAGCCGATTCGTATTTTGAAAAATGCACAGCTAGACACTGAAAAGTTTAGTACCAATAATAATTAATATCACTTGCAGCAAACGTAACAGACTAGAAATATTTTTGATCGTTATCAAATAGTTTCGTACTCCTTTATAAACTTACTGTCTGCATTAAACAATGAATGTCCGGTTGAGTTTTTTTTCTTGATTGCACCATGGAACCCAGTTTACCCATCAATTCCGCCTCCTACGAAAAAAATTTTACGATTCTGATTAGGTATAACGTAAACGGAATGAACAAATGGATAATACTAACTCAAAATGGGTCTGCAACTAGATTCTGTATTTAAGTAGAAAATGAAGTTTTTGAAAACTAATTCAAACAAAACCTAAGCCAATCAAAATATAATATCAAAGAAAGGGAGTCATGCTCCTTATTTTCAATGTCTAAGTATAGAAAGCTTCGCAATTGGATAAATACGCAATCCATAATATTCTTTCTTACCGAATATTACGGAAAATTATATTTTTGACTCTATAAGCACAAATATCAATATGGTGAATCTTCAGTAAAAGCAATGATGAATATTAATTTTTTTAAAAAGTGATTCTTCCAGATACAAATCATACTATTATTCAAAATCAACAATATCCTTTTCTTCAATCCAAAAACCAAAAATAACAAAACATTTCTGAACTGCTATAATAATAATCCAATTCTTATTCTGTCGCTATTTCCTCACTTTTTTCTCTCTGCTCAAACAGTGATGCTATTTTATTTTCAATTCCAGATGTTCTGTGTTAAAAGTGTGTTCGAAAACTGAACAGCAGCACTGCTCGAATCATCAAATTCGATGCTAAATTGACTGAGAAACTGCTCAGATATTTCAGTTCCATAATGTATACAAATCGTTTCTATAAAACTGATAAAAATATTGATGTGAGAAATAGTAAAAAAGTACTTGTAAGGATCATCAAAAATGCTTGATGAAAAAAAGTTGATGACATGGAAATTAGAGAAGGAATGGACAAGAGATATCACTGACTCCAATGCAATGTAACTTTAAGTAATTCCACTGCATCATAATTGATACGAAAACTAATTCATAGTTTTAAAAATAACATGTAACAAGGGGACCATAATTGTAGATCAAATTTTCAAGCTTACCAAATGAGTTCAGATCATTATTTACTGCTTCCCAAAATTGCGAACGATAGATGTCTCTGCAATATTTTTGTTTTCAAAAAACTAAATAACTATTAAATTAGATAAGACTTTATTTAAGTTAAGAAACGCAAAACGATGGAAAGCTTCCTATTCATTAATCTCGTTTTTTAACTTAAGATCAACTTCAACTTCGTGAACTATCGCATGATAAAAACCTGTCAAGCAATCGATTCTTGACAAGGTCTTTTCTAATTACTTCGTAGCGATAAATCCCATGACTAATTTTGATTTCGTAATAGTTTGCAACCAGTAGGATTTCTGCACCAACTTTATCGTAATCGAATCTCTGCAACAAGCATGACATTATTGGTAGAGTATTCTGAAAAAAATCAGATATAAAACTGAAACGAAAAAGAAACCAAGCGAAACAATTCGCTTTAGAATTAAATGATAAATACTAACCATTCCAGCTCCCAGTAATTCTTGCAATGAAACATCCGTGCTCAAAAAATTGCTCGTGATTGAAGCCATATTTGCTAAAAATCGAACTATGAATTTACCAAAATGTCGCAAGTAGATGTATTCATTTTTTCCGTTTATTTAAAAATCTATTAATTCATATTACTAGCTCATACAGTATTAATTTACGGTGCGATGAAATTTCAAACAATCGACCTTCTCCAACAGACGATGTTTCTGCCTGGTCTTCCGTGGAACTTGTCCATGAGCACGCCCATCTGGAATAGAAAATAACAATCTTATTATTAAAATAGTCCAATAATCAAATGCTGCTTAACACGCTGAAATTTCAATGTGCCAATTGATAAAAATTTTTTTCTGCATCAGCTAAAAGCAACCCTTCTTGTTTTCAAAAGAGCCAAATAACAGTTCAGGACTTTTTAATCTGCGAGACTCATTCTAATTCGAATACGACAAATTTTCATAAACTTACACTGCTGGTTAACATGACGTTCGTCAGGGAATGCACAGTTAAACGATATGATTCATTCTGAAATAAGTTCTCAATTCGACTATTAAACAATACGTAATGGCTCCGATCATTCTTCAGAACTAAAATTGGGCGATAATCCACAAAGTTACTCAATCCATTTCTGTAACTTTGCTTTGAAACTATTGTCCCACTTCCAAGTATAACTATTCGTGTTGATGTGCTAAATATTTATATAACATTCCTTAGCATCCTATATAAAAACAATGAGACCAACAAAGAATAAATAACAATGCAGGATTTATCGTAAAACATTTCAGAACGTTACCTCTTACCTTGGTACTATGACACATAAGCTACCTGAGAATATATTGCGATATGTTACGAATAAAGAAAACATTTCAGAACGGTTTTGTCACTGTCCCTTGATCTATGAAAAATTGTGTCGGAATCTTTCACTGGAGATGATAAATATTTTGGGATTTATCACTTTATTCGATTCACATGTTGCCAGTTTTCCGCTTATCTCTACAGATAGCGCATCACTCTCTTTACTGCATGTGGCTAGAAGCAACTTCTGTATAGCATGCTAAGTGCAAAATTATGTACTACCTAACGTCACGTCACGTTATTGTACTGTAGCATATTGAATGCTACACGCTACAAGATGTACAGCGTGGTATTACATGTCATGTTGACATGTATCATGTATGAAGAAGATATTGGATATTGGATGGCTTAATTGCTGCTTCTATGTGATTGAAGTCTCTCGAATGTTAATTAAGATTTCCGTACAGCCTTCACTAGAGATATGTTTTTAATTCATTGAGCGATGTTCAACATCATGGTAATATTTGATCTTACTTAGTTCATTTGGAAGCCGATGGAATCTATGGAATTGCATGTATATCTTTTACTTATATATTTCTGTTCCCATTAATACTTTTGATATACCACTCTTTTGTTGAGGACAACATCCGAGGAACGAATGGTATCAGTGACTGTTTCGAACACATTCAGTAAATAGTAGGAGAAATGTTTTTTACAACATTCAAAGAGAAGCCACAACTTTCTGCTTCACAATATACTGGAAAATTGAAATGCCACACTGATCATTCAATCGATTACAATGTCCCTTATTCAAAGCTTTTTTCTATTGTGTAATGAAATTTCAATTTACATAAAATTGAAACAGAAAATTGCCACTGTTTGGCATATCTGATATTTGATGCCTGCAATCACAATAACTTTCGCTTTAGTTCATGAAAAAAGTTTAGGTATTAACAGAAATTTATGAAATATAACCAATTTTGCTGAAGAAACTGTAGTGATAGTTGAATACGAATGAGAGCTATGACTATAATCATTACAAAGATCTCGGTGTTAACGAGATTTCTCATAATTTTTTTGTCACGATACACGGAAGAGTAATGATCGGATTTCCATAATCCTATAATATCGCCGTAAAACGAGCAGTAATCAAATATATGAAAACTTTTTCTGCCAATTTCATAGCAATTGATTAAAGAAGATTCATATAGGTAGTTAATAAAGGATAAGATTAGACTAGACTAGACTAGAGCAGAGTAGAGTAGAGTAGAGTAGACCAGATCTATGGGATGAATGATCAAACGAGGTAGGTAGAGACAAATACAATCGTCTAACTTGTTCTCAAATATTTCTGGCTTTCTCATGAATCGATTCCTTCTATTAGGAATAGGCTTTTTCTCTACTCATTCCATCCATCATCCACTTCAAAGGCTTTCTACTTGTTTGTCTTTGTCGCTTAAATTTCATTACTCAGTCCAGGTAACATTCACAATTACCCTTACTGCATTTATGTTCTAAATGCCAAAGAATCAGATATTTATCATAGGCAGTGATCAAAATATTCCAAAAATTTGCTGTATATTTATCACTGAAAGAACTATTGCAATTTTCATTACATTCTTACCGAAAGTAAAATTTAGATTGAGTGAATGACATTAATTTTCTAATACAAATACACTGATCTCTTTCGGATACATGCAGACACATGGACACACATAAAGACAGATACGGCTATTGTCCCTTCCCCCTGCCGTCACTAATTCTCTTGGCCGATCTCATAACAATTGTTCTCTCTTCCACATTGCTTTGCAGTAGCACATTTTTATCACTTCTTATTCCATCTCACTATTCGAGAATTAGTTAGCATTTCTTGTAGATGAACTTCACCCTTTACCTATTCATTCATACGTCATAATGTTGCGATAAAGGATTGCCCTACAAAAATCATTTGCTACCGCTTCTACCACTTACAAACTATTTTTCAGCAAAGAATTCAAACTGAATTAAAACCCTTTATCCATTTTACTTTCCATTTAAATTATATTCATGTAATTTATTTCTTTCAATATCTTTAATTCTCATGACAACAAACTCGAACAGCAAATCCATTCCAATTAATAATATTTAATGAAAAAATTAAGTCATTTTCCGCCTTGAAACTTCCTAGAAATCTGTAAAAAAATCGTGTCTTTTTCTTTCATAATTATTTTTAATGAAATTGATGAAGACGCTGAAAAATTTTGTTGTAAAATTCACTCGATCGCTTCAATTTAAATTAGTTTTCAATATTTCTTGAAAAAAAATTTTTGTTACATCACTGATTTACTCATTTCCTCATTCCCTTTTACAAATCCATCCCATTTGATCGAGTTCTTCTCCAATTTGAAATTTGAATTAGTGAATACAATGAGATTTTCTTTAATCGGACAGTAACAAACAGGTCGAATAATTTGTGAAAACATCCAGCAGCAACGATTATCCTGCAAAGAGCACAGACAGATAGACAGATATGTCGGAAGTACGAGGGTTCTCGAATGTTATGAATTGATTTGTTGTATGAACAGAAAACAAGAACTAAAAAAGTAATGTTAGCTGTTAATTCACGGCTAAATTTAAAAAAAAGTTAATACTAACTTCTACGATAATAAACGAAATAGATAGCGGGAAAATGTATGCAACTTTTTCAAGAGCTCATAATTAGTTATTATCAGAGAAATTATTGGCTCATTTGATGAATAAGATTTGTTTTAATGATTTGCTAAACAAAGAGAGAAAAATAATGTCTTAGTGCAAAAGAATATAACAAATTCTACCTTGCTATTTGACTGTATGAGTCATGCATGAGTCAGATACAACAAATTCGATTTATTTAAATGAAAGAAGTCCATAGTTACAGTTTACACTTACAATGCAACAATGTCGAAAATATAAGCATGGAGGGAAAAAATTTCGTAGCTTTGTGGAAGTAGCATTCTTTGTTACCTGAAATCGTAGTGTCTTAGATATTTTTGTCAGGCTTAATTAAATTCACTTTCATTTTTAAGTTTCTATTGAATGAGAAATTCATTGCGATAAGTGATTGCGTAACATTGAGAAATGATGAATATAGAATTGTGGTAAAAAATTTAATAAAAAACAATTTCAGGATTATAAGGTCAAGAAGCAGGCGCATTTTAGAAGGCATCCTGAAGTTATCAGTTTACTGCTATTAAAATAATTAAAATTAAATTCAAATTGAACGTGTTCGAAACTGAGAGAATCTTTAATGTTTCAACTTCCAATTATTGTAGACGGTGATTGCGATTCACGATTCGATAAAGTCAAACAAGTTTTCCAGTGAGTTATTTATTCGATTTAATAATTTTCATGAAAGCTTAGTTGAATTTTAAATTCTCTAAAAATATTCTTTTACATGCAACTGAAAATACATTATAAAAGCAATTTGTATTGAATTTTGCAATTTAGTTTAGTTTAATTTAAACAAAATTTGTTAAACCTGTTTCAAATTTAAAGGCACAGTTGAAGATTTCAAGCGGTTATGAATTGAAATTAAAAATTTTCTGTTTGATCTATTCGATAGAATCGAATCATCCTATCCTTTTCATAGAATCAAATAGAATATCTGCTCGTTTTTTAATCATTAGCTTTCTAATTTTTCGTGAATAATTTCAGAAATTTCAAATGACATTAAAAAAAGATGAGAAACTCCGTGAAGTGCAGTATAAGAAGACACATCGTATAAATAGTGTCAAATGATTTGAAAAAGACAATAAGAAATTTTATTAGTCAAAATCCACACAACAATCTGCATCAAATCACCTACTACGGCTGTATTCATCAAAAAAATTTCGAAAAATTGTAATACTTCAAACATTTAACAATAAGACTGACTATCATAACTTCAAATAATTATTTGAAATCTTTTTAGCATCACAAAGCATGACAACAATTATTTTTATTTACAAAGTATAGATTATATTTACAAATTATTCATGTATAAATATTTTAAAAGTAAGGCATCTTGAAAAGGATTGAGAAACTATCATTCATTTTAAGATTTTATTGGAATAAAACGATCCGTTGTTTCTTGTTCTTAAAAAAAATAAAACTCATATTCTTTCATTGTAGATAAAGTTAAAACTATGTTTTAGCAATAATTTTATACAGCGATGGGAAAGTGAGGGAGCAGCATTCGCGGTATATTTCAAAGGAGAAAAAGTGGTTGACCTATGGGGCGGATATGCAGATTCAACATCACATCGAAAGTGGAAGAGTGATACAATGACACTTTTGTTCAGTGGTACTAAGGTATTATATTACACTATATTCTCAATATTAGGGAAATTTTCTAGGAAAAATCATTAGAAATTGATGCTTAAAAGCATGTAAATTTTAACGACAATCTAATCGCGACAGTATCATTTATACAATATACAATATCACTTATTGTACAATTTAAAAAAATCGTGATTCAGAGTATATGCGCGATATGTTTTGCGATGTTAGTTGATCGTGGCCTGATTGATTATAAAGATTTGGTCACCAAACATTGGCCTGAGTTTGGACAAAATGATAAGGAAAACATTACTATTGAAATGTTACTTTCACACCAGGTATGAAATTTTTTTATGAAAAAACTTTCAAAAATGATAGCATCAGAAAAATCCTGTCAAAGAATGCAAAAAGAAATAATTACAGGGTGGACTAGCTTATGTGGACAATGTAATTGAGGAATCGGATATTAGGGATTGGAGACGCATGTCGAAAATTTTTGAAGATCAAAAACCAAACTGGATACTGGGTAAAGAAGTCGGTTATCATGCTCTAACATTTGGTTGGTTAGTTGATCAGTTGATACGGAGGGTTGATCTTAAGAAACGTTCATTGTCGCAATTTTTCAAGGAGGAAATAGCTGAACCACATGGTATGTTCTTTTTTTCTTAATTTTCTTCTAATCTGAATTAATAAAGTGACAGAAAAAATAATTTTTGAAATCATTTTTATCAAAGATATTTATGCATTATCACTCTCTTCCTTTACAACATGTTACTATTTCATGGTTCGGTTGAATTTTTCCATTTGAATTAATGTTTTCAGATCTCGATCTGATTATTGGTGCTCCTGTGGAATTAGAATACAGAATAGCACGTCTAAATTTGGGGTCAAAATTCCTAACTGCTCGAGAGATAATTGAATATCCGACTCTGCTTAGAATGTTTTGGAATAGTTTGTTCACGCCGATCAATTTTGAAAATCGAATGTTGCGTAATGTACAAAAAAATTTTTCTTGGATGGGAAGAGTAAGTTTTCAGTGTTTTCCATAATCATTATCTGCTTCTGATATATCGCAAACAAATAAATGAACAAACAAATAAACACACACGCAATTACACGTATACGTAAACTTATCTGCATATATACATACAAATTTCCATTATTTCTGTTTTCATGTTGACATGATTATGCGCAAAATGACGGAGGTCAGTGTTTTTAAAGATTGATCAAACGTTATTAACTTGTAAAACAATCACAGAAAATTTTATAGGACATTCTGCTGTAAAATAAACATCCGGTAAATAACTAGAAATAATATTTCGAAGTTTTATATTTAATCATATTTTAACTTAAAGGCATTTGAAAGAGTTAAAGATTTAACAAGTATCATCTTATAAACAGCTTCTAGAATGCCACGATGTTCAACAATCCTGAAATTCGATCTTTGGATATACCAGCGGCAACTGGTGTGGGTACTGCTCGGTCATTCGCAAAACTTCATGCATTGGTTCTCGGAGGAAAACTGATGAAAGGGACAACTGTAGAGCAGCTATTTCTCGACCCTACAGTTTGGAATCAAACGGACTTAGTCTTATCGGTTAATGTATCATTCGGAAAAGGATTCACCTATACTAAGAACTTCCAAGTATAAAAATTGATGTTACTTTGAGAAATACATCACCAAAGCATACTGTGCTTGTAAAAAAATCTAAATCGATTGATTTTTTTTATTTTTAAATATTTGATGCCATCCAAAAATCGTCCGAAGCAGTTTAATTTGATATCAATTATTTAGCAATGCTGATGTCATCCGTTGCCTGAAAATCTTCATTTTCAGGATCAATGGCTAGTCGGTCACCCAGGACTAGGTGGTCAGAATGTTAAAATGGATTTAACAAATGAAGTAGCATTTGCATACCTCTGCAACGGCTTAAAGGTTGGCCATTCTGATTTAACGGTGACATTTATGCGACTACAAAATGCACTTTACGAATGTCTCCGCGAAAATAATTTGTTGAAAGAAATCCCAGAAGAAAAAATTGGAAAAAATTCTAAAACTGTGACAGGTTGGTCATTTACCATAATTATTAAAAATAATTTTAAATTTCACATATAAAATTTGAGTAATTTGTCCAAGATATTATGATAATGTTGTACCCTTTTGCTTTGCGGTGTCCCCAATTTGTTATGTTTATGATATCTTATTTGAAAAAGCGTTGCCAATTTGCCACTGCAATTATGAACGGTTGAAAGTTTTTCAGATCGGCAGAAATTAATTTACTCAAGTTTAAAATTGCAATTCGAAACGAAATCCTTACTTAATTCATGGTCCTTCTTCTTATTTCTATATTACAGGAAGAAACAGCTCATTGGATGCTCCATCCAAATATCATCAAGAACCTAGCGTTTCAACGTCGCTTGAAAACAATACAATTCTGACTTCTGATACATGAATTTTGAATAAAGTTAAATTCTCTTGATGTACTTTAAAGCTTCTCTTTTTTAACTCGCTTCTATTTTGCAAGAATTTTAAATTTGTTTACGAATTTTATAAATCTTAATCTTTATGTATACTATTGATCTTTGCAGTTTATTATTAAGCATATGAATCCAAAATTTCGCCTAATTTCTTGGCTTGATATTTACTAACATCAGATCTCTAAATCATTTGACTCATTGTCGGTCGAATCCAACGACCTCATTTCAGATATGATAGCTGTTAGCTGTCTACCGTAACTGGGCTGTTTTATTGGTAATTTTGGAGACTTAAGCGCAAAAATTGCGAGAGCCTAAGAGAATTGTTTATCTTGATCAAGCTAGAATAGCTGGTTCGAAAACCCAAATTTGAACATGAATTAAAGGAAATAGTTGCTCTTTTAGGAAAAGCCTCAATGTTGCTGTTGCTAGCATACAGTAACTCCACCAATAAAATGTACAACGACTGTGATGTGGCGGTCTTGTCCATTCGAATTCAATGGTAAAACACATCATACATATAATATAATTTGCCGACCACTACATCTCGATAGCCTACGGAAAATTTATTCAAATGTGGAAGAAATTAGATCAATGAAATCTGAAGTCTTATTGAAATCACAGTTAAATTTTCACAAGATTTATGTACACATATCTGATGGCAAAACATTTTAACTTTAATAAATTTATAATTATAATGAAATACTTGTAGATTTCAATTATTCCAACTAAAAATTTGTGTGATCGGAGTATTAGCTGCAGTTTCAATCCAATCGGTATGGAGTAACTGACCAGCAGTCAGTCGCATATCTAAGCGTTCGGACATTAAAAGTTGTGTAGTATGCCACATTTTTGAATCTACTGGTAGTGTGATTGATGATTTTACCCCATGATAATCAATCTGCAACAATGTCCATCATTAATGATGTTGTGTAAGTTTCAAGTAAATTATGGAAACTTTGAGTAGCTGATCAAGCTAGAATGTGGTCCAGAAATTTGAGGTAAAACATACGGCTAAGGTGCTTACTACTCACCGTTCCATTCGGTTTTCTTTTTGGCATGCGACCAATGATGCATCGATATAATACTACACCCATTGCAAACATATCTTGCGGCAATGATTCAGCTCTTTTACAAAATATTAGTTAAGTGGTACTCCCATAGATCATCAACAGCTATCTTTGTTTTATTATAACTCTCGAATGATCATAACAATAAAAATTTGTATGATAATTAAACCTACTCAGGACGAACAGATTCTGGTGCAGCATACATAGGTAATTGTCTATTTTTGTTCATATTTTCAGTAACTTCCTGTGCACCTGTAAGACCGGTCAAACGACCTACCATATGATGATCAATCAAGATATTAGCCGTACAAATTGTTCCATGATAAATACACTGTCTACAAATTTGTATTATTCAACTAATACATATTAATGCTAGTTTTCTAACACTTAGTAAAACGATAAAAAAGATTGAAGACAAGAACAACAGTCTAAACATCGTTGTGTCACAGTTATTAGGTCGTTTCAGAGTAATCGTATAGATAGTCGAGGATGATAACAATTAAACTATTCGTCTTAATTAATTCAATGATTATAAATCGATAGATGTTAAGCTTTATTTGACTATAATTATAATACGTTTGTTGATTTATATGCCGGAATATTTTCCATGCATATTTCCCATTTTCATTTGACCCTATCTAACCGTTACCGATGACATATATCAGTAAGATATTCGGATTGGATTTTACGGAAGAGTGATAATTATTATAGTAAAACAATTTTAGTGAAAAGAATACTAGTCATCTTTTTTCTTAAGACAGAAAAATTACGAGTGCAGAAAGTAAATTGCTGTAGTAACTCCATGTAAAATTTTCGCGATATGTTGCTTATGTATGGGTACTACGCCATTATCTCCAAGTAACTTCTCCAACGAGCCATATTCACAGAATTCAAGTATGAAGAAGTTGGTACTTGACTGAAAAAATTTCACTTAAATAATTCATTTCTCTAACGCCCTATACTTAACTCTTAACTCTACTTAACTCTACTCATTAATTAATAATTAATAAATACATCACATCAGTAAAGTTTTTTATCCGTATGCGAAAGTTTTATTTTTGTGACAAATTTGGTGACAAAAAAAATTATATATGTATGTCGGAAAGTGTAAATATCTCTTACCATATGATGATAGTAATGATCAAGAAAAACTGGCAAGCATACATCCTCCTGTGTATTACTTTCTTTTAGCTTCTTAGCCTGTAATAATAATTCTTTGTAAAAATATCGAGTTTGATTTCAATTTAGTTTATATCTAGGAAATACATTTTAACTATAAAGTTCGTTTCTTTTTGGAAATTGAGATTGAAAAGAGTAAACCTGAAGAAGCAATGATGCTTCCAAACCACCTCCAGGAGAAACTTTAACGATATAACGCCGACCAGATTTTGAATAAACTGGATATACACTACAAAGGATAACTCAAGAATTTGATTTTAAAGAATAATTTGAGGATTTGGTCAATTAATGAAAAATATTCGCCAATTTTCCAGGATGGTGGACTATGACCCTATAACAAATATCGTTACATATAAAGCAGAACTTATTTTACATGCTTTTTCCATCTTCGCAAATTATCCGTAAACTATTCGTAAAATAATTCTTCAATTATTTGTTATGTTGTAAAATAATTATTCGCTGAAGTTTGTCATAAATTATTACCATCCCTTAACAAGTTCATTGATATCAGATCCTATCCCATCTGTATTTTGAGATTCTAGATTTGTCATCAGCTCTCCTTGATAATAAGAAGGATTTATTTAAATGATGCAAATAATTTATACACTATCTATTTTTCTTTCAGAGTAATTACTTTATCGTAAAGCTAAAAGTTTAAAATACATATTAAAAAAGCTGAAAATCAAGGAATGATTTAAAACAAAATATGCTAACGATAGAATGGAATAAAAACTGATTGAAAGTACTGATCCAGTACTGGTTTTTCATGACTTTTCATCAAATCTAATTTGTATTAAAATAAGGAATATTAAAATGAAGCACGAGGAAACAAACCACTCTGCACACATTTTCGATCTCTAATGCTTTCCATCTGAGATTTCTTGAAGAACAAATTCCGCGCCTTTAATCTCCGACAAAAATCATATGCTGCATCAATTATTTGCAAATCCGTCGTTGCTACAGGAAAATCTGTTGATAGAAGGAACAATTAATCCCTTCAATTAATCAACAAAAGTTGGATTCCAGTTTGCCACGGAAAAATCATAATTAACCGTTTGGAAGAGATGAAATTGAACTCAAGAATATACGACTGCTCTTGCCATTTCGCAAAATAACACAAAGCCTTCGATGCCAAGTGTTCGAAGGCAATAAACGCAATTTATGGAAACGTTTGGTGTTTTAACCTAATCATTAATCGACGATATAATTCATGCAAGATTTACGTTTTCGGTTAAACTGAGAATCAGTATGTGATTTAGATTGGTCAATTTCTTAAAATACTGTTTGGCACAGCATCGCAGGGATTAAAATCATGCTAACAACAATTGTTTTATTTTATAATTTAATAAATATCTGAAATTTGGCGACACTAAGCACGAGACAAAATATCTTCTCTTTACATATTTCATATTTATCAAAACAAAATTTATGCAACCTGGTTTAACACCAGTTAATTGTACTTCATCATGAGCTTGTACATTTAGGGCTGATTTTATCATTGTTGACTTTTTCCCGAATTAATCGAATAAAAGCAACCGAACAGAACGATATGATGTCTATGAAATGATCGAATATACTATAATGCATCTTTTATACAATGCTGTTTGAGTGTTCAAAAGATTACAAAGAAAATAACAAATGATCTTTGTGGATTGCATTTATTGTAAAAAAAATTAAGTGGCGAAAGAATTGAATAATAAATTGCCATAGCCACAATAATTCTGAAGAACGAAACAGAAGCAATCCTTTATGATCAGAATTAGATAATAGAAGTATTACTTAATAATTATCACAATTACTTCTCAGCGGAAATACCCCGATCTTACCTAAGTAAATTAATCGTAATTAACTGAAAAACTTTCTATCTTCTGTAATCGCTTTTAAAAATTCTAGGAAACTTAAAATATTCCTTGAAATTTCAAATAACTTCCTCATTGATATATGATAATAATCTACAGCATTTGTACGGTATTTGAGCAGTAATACTTCAATATTGAACTTTGCCTTTCCATTCATTAGATGAGTTGAATAAAATTTAGGATTAAATTATAACTAGCTTAGGTTACTACAATTAATTTGTTGAAATCTTCATATACAGCCACAAATAAAATTTATAGATGAAAATGGCGAAACATGAGATAGAGAAGTTGCTGCGATAAACATGCTGCATCACGAATTCACGACTATTTCTATAAATTTCATCCAACAATTGCTTGTTTAAATTTTAGAAGAGATCACTTGATTTAAAAGGATAAAGATTAGTTACGTCGATTCGTGTCGCATGATGTGATCTAATGAGTTTTCATTTCACTGATATATCCGCTAGTTTTTCTATTGATTGAGTGAGTGGATCGTAGTGGAATGAAAATGGTTTTTTAGTCATTGAAATGTAAGACCTGAAAGTAAATTCAAAATAATACTTCTTCGTAATGTTGAAAAGCATAGTAATTTTGTAGGAGATTCTGCCAATTACTTAAAACCTATTAGAATATTGTAATCAGTGATAAAAAGTGATCTTTTTATTTGATCACTGACTCTTAAAACGTCAAAATTATCTCAAAATTTATAAAACTTCGAATGCCATCGATTTTTGATTTTTTATATTATGCAGCAATTATTTATTCAAACTTGAATTTATTTGTAAAGGTTATTATGGTAATTATGAAATTTCTATCTGTTAAAAATTATTACCGGAAATAATAGTGCTTGAAATTCAAAAAATTTGAAGCAACTAGAAATTTTATAAACCAAATTTCGAATAACGGAAACTCCTTTTGCAGGCCAAATTTTTGGACATATTCGTACCATTTGGAATAAGTATTTTGAAATTTACTTGACATTATCCTGATCAGAATGAAACAAAAACCACAATTAGTGATAGGATAATTTAATAATTTTTAAACTGGCTGAGACAAAGTGAAACAGAATTTTCAAAACAAACAATGAATAAGAGAGATCCCTCTTTTAACGACAGATTTTAATGATTACATACTTTATTTTATGAAATGCTTCATAAATGCTCCTGGAGTAAAAATACCCTCTTTGGAATTTGGTAACTTCAGGTTCCATTTCAATCACATCAGCCGGTTCGAATCGATAAACATTAGCTTCAGGTGATATACAAAACTGAAAAAAAATGTCTTTTTTTGACTATATATACATATCTGTACTATTCAAAGACTACGCATAAACAAAACAAATCTTTGTATATCCAACAATTATACTTTAAGCTCATCGAAACATGATAGCAATCCCGCGCCGTAAGCTTTCAAATTGCGTTTTTTTTCATCGAATTTTTGACCTTCAACCAATATGCCAAATTCAAACGTGAAGAAATAAAGCTGAAACAGATTTTTCTAACTAATTCTCGTGACCTTAAAAAACTTGTTTCTCAGAAAAATCATAAAAATCTTAAAATTATGCGTATAATGGAACAAACCCGTATCAAGGTATTGCAGTCTTTTTCGGAGGAACCAAGACTTGCAAGTCCAATTTCCTGACTAAGTTGGGCATAAATTGGATCCAAAAACATTGCCATGTGTCCGAGCATTTCATGGCACAAATCTCTAAAGAATCAGTCAAAGACTCTCATTTCTAAAGATAATTTTACATTACCACCGGAAATATTAGCCCATTTTCCCGAGCTTTCTTTTTTCCTTTAGGCATAGCATTCCAATAAAGCTTACGGTTCAGGCGTATAATGTGGATCGGTATGATGGCGCATATACTGCGTACAGCAGAAAACACGAAATGCCAATGCAGCCAGAAAATTTCGGGGAGTCAAATAACCACCGCATGGACGAAGGGTGAAACCAGTTTTGCCTGAAATTTTCGCGTTAAATGATAAAATCTATTGAAGAGGTTGAGGAAATAATACCCTATCATGCAATATCTGACAAGATGCCTACTGTTAAAGATGTAACATCATATTACTGGTAGAGTAGAATAGCTGATGATCTGCACTGCTTAATTTTCTCGTAAATGCGGCCGCTATACGATTGGTTCCTCTAATTTCATTTCATTTCTTGTAATTACATGCATTTAATGTATTAAACAACAACCAGTTTGAACTGCACTGATATTATTTCATTATCGGACTATTAACGATCAGCCGATCAGCAATGTCCAAACTCAGTATTTGTATCAACACCGAATGTTCCTTATATATGCAGCGGGTGGCAAGGGTTGACAAAAAAAAAAAGAAGTGGAATTTATGACAATCTTGGGTTAAGGGCCGAAAGCGTGATTTGTTAGCACAGATTATTGGAAGATATGTTCCCTTTTTTCCATTGTTAACAGTGGATTCTATTTCAATTTAGAAAACTTATAAGAAATTTTCAAAATAAGGAAATCTTTAAAAACGTACTTTGAAGATATTTTGAAATATCTTCCAGTTGTGGGATTTGGTTATCTGAATAGCCGCACCGTTTTTCAAGCAATTTGAAATTGTCCAAAAATTCTTTGCATGCAAACTTACTATGCAAAGCTTTCAGATCACGATAAATTGTACCCCTGAGAAATCTTAATGAAGTGTCAAATTTCATTTGCCAATGAATTAAGAGTGGATAAAATTTTCAATAACTGAATGGAATTTGGAATAGCAAATAAAAGCATATTAAAGATATTACTAGAGTTATAATTCAATGACCTATTTCTAAAAAAACATTTTCAGGTATTAATTACGACACATACCATGTTTTTGTTTCGGCTGTTGTATAATTTATTCGCGGTATTGGTGTCCCACTATTAAAATAAATTTTATTGAATCAATATTTGAACTTATCAAAAAAAAAACTTATCACTATGTAAAATGATTTTGTCTTTTTATTTTTCTGCTTGGAGCCGAAGTTAGATTAGTACAATATTTTAAATATTCCATTCGACGAAAATTATCAAACATATCTTCTTTGTTTGTATTTCGAAAAGACTTAAATTCCTACAGCTAAAAATCCGAACAAAATGATTATGCTCTTCGAAAAAACAATTTCTCCATACCATCATTGAAATTTACATAAATGTATTGGTGATATAAATCCGACTATCGCATAAAAGTAAATTCAAAGAATAATTTTAGGACGTAATTTATTCTATTCTAAAACTTAATAGTAGTATTATTGATCGATGCAACTTACTGCTTATAATCATTTGCAACATCTAAAAACCATTCTCGTCTTTTCTGATACTCCTTGTCTTTAAAGTTCTGCAAAATTATCAGTACAGTATTAGCAGATAACAAAGCTACGCGTAACATGTATAACAAATATTTTGAAAATTCAAATGAAATTTTTGAACAGACAATGTTTAGAAGTAGAACAGATCTTAATCACTTCTATCAAGATAATGTTACTATTCATGCCAATTAAACGATACTAATTAGTTACTATTCATGCCAATTAAATGATACTAATTAAATGATACTAATTAGTAATCATTATACATGTTCAAATCGTTACACTAACGGCATGATTCGCATTCAGCTCTGAAGAAGTGGTTGAATCGCACATGATAACTTTATTACATATATAATCCAAATCGGTTATCTGTTTCGGATACCATCTTCCTGATTCGATATCTGCAAATCCGAATAGTACATGGTAAATATGGTAAATATCCTTCAATCTACTTATTCCTTACGCCGATATCTAAGATATCGTTAATCAGTTAAGTATTACCTCTCCTCATATTCATTAAATAAAAGTATACCTTCATTAGACGGCGTAACATAAAAAGAGTGTTGGAAGCTGATAATATTTTTTCTGCAATAATTTTGTATAATTGAAAAAAATATGAAAAATTGGAGTAGTAAATTCAAAATAAACTACCATAATAGTTACAAGCAAAAGTTATAAATAAAATCATCATTTATGAAAAAAATGTCGAGAAAGTGGTCTTGCCGTGGGATGTTACGAAATGACAGAATGTGATTGCGATCACCCAAATAAAGTAATGCTCGCCCTGTCATATTGTTATCTAAAAAAGTGAGTAAGAATATTTGATTTCAACTTCATTTACATGTATATATATATATCAAAATTTGCAGTCTCATTTTGGAAGGAAATGCTACCAATGCTTTTCATTTCTGAGCATATTTCTTACTCACTTCTATTAATTCTTGTAAAATGTGAAATGAAATGTTAGGAAAATTTTCTAAAACTAAACAATTTCAAAGAAAAACTTTTATTAAAGTTAAAAAATTTAAAATAATTTGTTATTATTTCATGAACACATACAGCAATTCCTCCAACTTCCAAATGACGAGGGACGTATCATCTCACTGCTAAGTTGTTGAGATTAAGATCTGAAGCATTCTTAGCATAAATTTAATGAAATCATTATTTCCCAACGATGTGGATCGACTGGTTAATCTAATAGGAATGTTATATACTACCATACTACCATATGATATCGTTAAAAGAGGCGAAAATGATAATATGATATTTATTACACAAAATGAAGTTTCCCACTCAAACATTTATAAATTTTTTTCTCTTCTCATCCATCTTATTTTGTTGCCACACATATTGAATGTTAAGCTCTTTTTTGCTAATTCCTCCAATGAACTCAATTCATCGGGAAAAAAACCATCAAATTTGTTATTTCAAAAATGGGAATTTTTCATTATACAAAATGCTTCACTTATCAATTTCAGTTATTGAGATATTGATTGAAGAGAAGGAAACAACTGTGCTACTTTCGTTCATATTCATCTCTTTGCAAATTTAAGAATATTAGTGATTTAATTTATGATCGTTGATCTAACTAACGGATGGATAAAAGTAATGCTAAGGCATGCTTGGCAGACGATTATGTTACTATTGCAAGAATGCACGGCGAATAATGAGCAAATCGGGCCTTTCAGGCATTCTGTAACAAATGGAAAGTCGTTATGTAAATAATGAATGATTATTATATTCTTAGAGAAGATAACAAATTAAAATAACTCTGCTTAATATATAAATGAATTAAATGATGATGATTACAATAATTGGCTGACAAGTAAAAAACAATAAATTAAGTAATAAATCCCAAATTTAAACAATATATTAAAAATGCTATTGATGTGTAATATTCAAGCATAGTTTATTCATAACCATCTTTTACAACATTGAGAGCAAAACAGAAATTTTTTTTTCAAACAATTACATCATTGATTCTATGGTTATTGTGTTTTTGAATCAAAAAATCCAACCTAATGAAAATAGCATGTCTCATTTACATTTACAACATAATGTTGTTGTCATTCAACATTTCATTGAACGTATGGATTCATACAATATCTTCTTGTATTCGAACAGTTCCGATTTGCGACAAATAGTAACAGTAAAAAAAATTACATTTTAGTCATTGTAATGAAGCAAAATAATAATAAATCTCGGGAATATGTGGATCGGAAAAATTTCGAGTGTAAATTGAGAGAGTAACTTGAAGTAAAATGGACAATAAAGTACTTTATTCATTATTCTCCTTTTGTTCGGAAAGATTTAATCAGAAGATTAGGAAAGAAAAATGGGCATATACAAGCTTCAAAGGTTTAAATATCAATTCTTTCAAGATTTCAATCTTAATTCTTGAAACAATGATAGATCCTTTAGGTTCGGCAATTTATCATCTTCGAACTTTCGTAATTCAAGAAAAGAAAGCATTTTTTGCAATTGCTTGCTGTACGCAAATATTTGGAAGAAATAATAATGTGTGTTGTGAGAAAATTGCATAATCATATGATTATTCGCATTATTAAAATGAAGTTGATATTATTTTGATGAATTACCACTCAGAAATAGAAGCAAAACGGAATACAGAAAAATTTGTGATATTATGCGAAAGGTTCTTTCGAATTTGATATTTAATCAAAAATGGAAATATAAATATCAATTTCTGGTGGGAATTCAATTTTTCCCTATTGATATACCGTTGGTGTTGAAAGCTCATCAACAACTATTGTATGGATTGGAAAGACTTCTCGACTAGCAAAGATAATCTTTTCTAAAATATATTTATGTGCAATATATCAAAATTACATCGCTATTGCAACAGCTGTCGCTATAGCTAGCAATCAACAATCTATCGATGGTTATCACCGTAAAGATAAAAGGTATGTTAGCTTTTGATAGAAGATATGTCAGTTTGAATTTCACTTATAAAACGAAATATACGCTTATCATCATCCTGTAGTCAACTTTGACTGGTTAGACTGTTATTGTAAACTGTATTATTAGTGTCTTGAATTTCGATATTCATTATTGCATGCAAACGGAGGATACTGTACATGACACATCGCATAGTTTGATAGTCCCGCAGGAGTTATATTCGAGAGTTTCCCATTCGTTGACAATGCACTCCATTCATTTATTGTTCGCTAACGTTTCATCATCCCTTTATTTCTTTCTTTTGTTAAAGTCCCAATGTAATTAATGATAGATTGATCATCTCTTCTTCATATGCACACGAATGATCTATCTGATATGCCTGCCACTGGAACTGATCAAAACGACAACATAGCAACCAATTCCTTTCTTTCCGTCCTACTTTTTCTTTTCGTTTATCTGTCAATAAAGAAGGGACGTTATGCAATCACTAAATCTTAACTTTTAAAATTAAATTTTTCTTTAATTATATCACTGAACTTCGATTGATAAGAAGAACATGAGAAGTTTGATATTAAATATATGATAATATAAAAAAATTTATTAGTGGCATTATAGTAAATTTAAACTTTTGTTACAACTGAAATAGAAGGAAGACAGTTGTGCGAATGGAAAAATATACAAGATTTATGTTATTTGACGTCAATCATTGCTCACAAATCATTTCCTTTTTTCTTAGAATTTGAAAAACAAAAAGAGTAAGTGTTTATTGTCAATGAAATCATTTGTAATGGCTTCAATATTAATCGAAATTTTATATCACAGAATGAATTCATTCTGATTTTTAATTGCAAAATAGATTAATTAATAAATATATATTAATTCATGCAAAAAATTAAATTAAATTGAAAGTTTAAAATAAATTTTCTCATCCTTTTTCGGCTAAAATTAATTATTCCTTCTTTCTTTAATCAATTATCAATTATCATTTAACTTTATCATTATAATTTCTTCCAATTTTACTGTTGTCCTGTTAAAAAAATCAGTGTTACGAATTTTATTATTCATATTAGTCCTTTTCGATTTATCTTTCAAACTTATTTAATTATTAATTTCCTAATTTAGATTCTTAGAAAATTTGAAATTTCCTAGAATTTGAAATCTGCTAGATATCTAAGAATGCACGCCAGTCATTTGAAATTCATGTGTTCTTTTGAATTTGAATTTATTGATGCCTCAATTGCAATTTAAAACAAAATGGAAAGTTTGTGTAGAAGAAGAGTTTTAAAATTTACTCCATATTTTTACATAGAAGAAGTAGTTTCAGGTGGGCAAGTTATTTTAAACGCAGTTTTTTTTAAAAAGCTCAAATCAAATGCTTTCATTTCTCATCTTTTTCTTCTCTTCAGTATCGCCTATTCATCAACCAATAGATCAAACATCCTTCATAAGATCATCGTTCGTTACGTTATCATCATCACTTTCAACTTCAATTACTCAACAAAAAAAAACCACTGATTAATGAAGTATGTATACTTTACTTTGCTTTACTAATTTAGAAATTTGAGGATGAGCCCAATCCAAAATGCTGATTCTACACTAAATTCTATTTAAAGTATGTGGCATTCAATAGAGTAAGATCGGTGTACATTAAAGGCTTCATTGTATTTCACATCTATCCTCAATCCTTCAACCGTTTATACAGAACTGCACGCTAAAAGAAATGATTAGATGAGTGTAGTGAAAAAAAGAACATAAGCAGTAAATACAGGTGGATTACAAAAATGCTTAAAAAAGAAATCCAATGAGGCATTGAACCATAAAGGTGGAGGCCTATATATGTCCTTGTAGAAATATCAGAAGTAATAGCTAATCTTGCTGAAAAATGTTTTTTGCATTCCTTGTCATTCAATATATTTATAATAGTATGCTCGATTGTGAATATCGTAAACAGCGATTGTTTCCAATTGAGCATTCATCTTTTTCCTTATTATTTCCAGTTTAGTTGTTTATTGTTATTGTTAATAATGAGATGTGATGATGTTGAATAATGTTGAAAATTTTCTATTTTGCATCTCAATACATGTCGAGATTAAGAGGAAAAGTTTACATGTTTAAGCCTGGAATGGTTTATGTTTTTTCACTGTCCTTTGGAAGAGCAAATTTCTTATAAGTATTCTTTAGATTGATCAGAATCTTCTATTTCTCCTAATATTAATTAAATTAATTGATCATTAATACATCTCACTCTTGTGATACACATGCAAATCAGATATGTAAATATCAGTCGTAAACATCTTTAACTTTTTATTTACAGCCTGTACAAAAATAAATATTCCCCCAATGCCTTCAGAAACAAATTATGATACTGTCTTGTCGTTGAATCGTTTGAGTATATCATGTACATCAGGCAGTATTTTATGAGACATCTAGTACCTGTTTTTGTAGTCATTCGGTGGTATGGACGATTTTTGAGAATGATATCATCGATTCATTTCAAAATTTTATACCTTTGAAAGGATTCCGAGACACAAAGCGTAAGGGTAAGATATGCTACAAAACCGGTCTTTTAAAATGCACTTCATTCTATAAATTTTTGAAATGTCATTAGCCTGAGCAGTTTAAACAAAAGGAACGATAACTGTATTTACAAATAAAAAAGTTTACAAATTGGCACATATTATAAAAATATAGTGATAATTCATTTCCGTTCTTTGATGTTCAGAAATCATACGTTTTATTATGATTTCCACTTGAATTAGTCCTTTTTTTCCTTTTTAAATATGTTCACCACTTACTGTTTTAATTATAAAATGCATGTAATTACAAGAAATGAAATGAAATTGATAAAAGAGAAGATAAGTAAAATCATGCCAGTTTTCTCTACTCTTGGACTAAATTGAAACAATTCCTCTGTTTTCTCTCTCTACGAATGTTTGAAGGACTATGAAATTAATTTTTTGCTAATATCATCAAATCAATTCAAGGTTTGCTCAATGATCTTAGGTAATATTCTCTTCCTGTTATACTATGTATCAATTACTACTATTTCATAGTAAATACTCTCGGGAAGTAATTACTATGTAACAGTAATAGTATATATGCATATATTATTTTATTGTTATTAGATCCCTAATAATACGGCAAATAATTGTTTTCTCCATGAAAATTAAGTGCCTCATCTAT